TATGGCTACTAAATAAAATATGGCCTAGTTTATCTCACCACATACCGGTTGATGATGTTGGATTTCCAACACTGTATGACTAAAAAAATTTGGAATTCTGACTGTATTGGGCCAGTATGAAATAGTTATTACTGAAATTAGATTATGATAGTGGGACGAATGAGCTCATCAACACCGTGAATCAGGACTAGTTTGGATTTCCATTATCAAATATAAAATTTTGAACTTGGTAAATTAGCATATGATGAGAGTTACCGGTGTATTTGGAAATCCTACTCTGTATGGTGGCACAATGGAACTCATCAACACCATAAGTAGGAACTATAGTTTTGGATTTCCATTACTGTATGATGAATGGTGATTTGGAAATAAAACTTTGTATGACTTATACACCCATGGAAATTATACCCTGTATGAAGTAAACACACAAGCTCATCAACAGCGGGGGTGCCGATATAAACTGGAATGGTCCATTTTAATCTGCTACCTTTTGATAACTTTCATAGTGTGGAAAAAATATAAAATTTTGACAACAATATGTTAAAAGTGAATGTTTTTGATTTTAATTTCGTTTTTTAAAAATTAAAAATTGTAGGTATGTTCATACAGCTCACCTGAAGGGATGCTGCCGCTATTTGTCCCGCGTGGTCAAAGTCCAATGAAAACAACTGCGTACACCTTGTAGAATGCTGACTCTGAATTGTCTTACTGCTCCCAAACGCCTGCATCAACACATGAACTGCATTTATTTTGTCAGCTGTAATAAAGAAAGGAATGAGTGTCAATAACGCATATCATTTCAAGGTGTGTTCAAACAACGTAATCAGAGATGCGTTTTAAAATTGCTGAAATATATACTGTAAACTGCTTTAATTACGTGGGAGACGAATTTTCACGAATTTAACAAGTCCTGAAAAATTGAACAATTTTGGAGCACTGAAAATTTCTCTGTTGTCCTACAACACAGAGGGTTAGTGACTTTCGAGAAATTTTGTCTTCGAGACGACAATAAGATCCTCAAATCGTGAAAAATTATAGAAGTGAAAATAAAATGGTTTATAGTTCACACAACAAATTTCCAAGTCTGAAAACAAATTTCTGCAAAAGATATTTCATTGGGATACTGTAACAATGAAGTGACTTTTGTTAAAATTGACGATGACGACAATAACAATATGAACGTAACTACAATACTTTACCTTCTATTTCAATATAGGCAAGGCAGAAACAAGAATTTCATTCTAGAAATTTTCAATATTGTTTTTTTTTCTTATTTAGATAAGACTAACAAACTAACCGGTCACTTTGTTGTTGACTGTGCCAGCAATGTTCACCAGGTAGTTCAGAACATGTCTGACATTCATGGTTTTGCCGCTGCCGCTCCTACCCATCAAAACAATGGAACGGTCCATTCTGGATGACAACATCTGTCTGTATGCTGTCTGTGCTATGGCGTAGACGTGAGGCGGCATATCCTCTTGCTTACATCCTTTGAACATCTGCATTACCTGTAATGAGACATGGCGAAAATCGATCATGTATTGTGACAGCATCTAATGAGAGGGCCATGCATGTGTATACAGCTGATCAACATCTACGATCTGATCCCAAGAAAACCATCGGCACTCAAAACTGGCTGACTTGATGAAAATGCTATCTGAGCAGAAATTACAAGAAAGATTATAACTGGCTAGTGCTACAACAGATTTCGTAAACTGGTTCGAAAAATATTTGACAGTATCCAATGACAGCAGAAGTTACACACATGATGAAAGTTGGTACCAAAATATAGGCTTTAAATTGACAGAAGACATGGTGTCCAACATATATGCCTTTAATATATATTAAATATTTTGCTCACAAATCTGTTTGGGCATTTTTATAAATTTCAACCTCGGGTCCCTCAGAATATCAAAATTCAAGCCTGAAAGCACAACACCTGTCATTCTTATAGACAGAATATTAAGAGATAACCTTAATAATATACATCTTTTTCCAGCTTTAATTTAATTTAATTTCCAGCTAATTTAGGGAAGAGTAGGAAATCAAACGGGCGGTGCACCACGGTCATTACCGCGGTGGTGGTGGTGGGTGCTCGCCGGTCGTCCGCATTATATGCAAATTTATGCATAGATTCCATGACGCCGGCTGACCGCGGTCTTTCGC